CCTGCCGCCGCTGCCACCACCGGGGCCTGCTGGGGCGGCGGGGGCTGGTGCGGCCGGTTGGCGGCCAGGTCCGGCGTGGAGAACTTGGCCATCTTGCGGCTGCCATTGGCGCCGCCCCCGGCCTCCTTCTGGCCGCTGTCCCATAGCCGCTTGGCCACAGGCGTGCACTGCACAGAGTCTGACTCCTGCTGCTCTGTCTTGACCCGCGACACCAGGGGCAATGGGGTGCCACAGGCCGGCCAGCCTGACGTCTGTGCCACGGGGCTCTGGGGCTCGGAAGACGGGGCCTCCTCGGCGTGCAAGCCCTGGGAGTCGCAGCTTGGAGAGCTCACCTTGAGGAAGAACTCGGTGCCCTTCTCCATGATTTCCTGGATCTGCAGGAAGCCGGCCGTGTACATGAGCAGGAATTGGTCGCCCACATTCATGCTCAGCCGGCCGGTGTAGCAGAAGCTGAGAATCTGCTGAAAGGACTGTGGCTGCACGGCTGCCGGCAGCTCCACCACGGCGCTGCGGCTGCTGTTGAACAGGTCCCGGAAGTAGGAGCTGCTGGCGGCCAGCACTGCGCGGTGGGCCTTGAAGGCGTGGCCCTTGACCACCACTGACACATCACAGTACAGGCCCTGTAGCCGCTGCTCATTGAGGCACTCCAGGATGCTGTTGCCGAAGTTGGGGATCTCCATCTGCAGGGTCTGGGCCATGGTGGTGGCTGCGGGGACAGGAGAGACGGTGGGCGGGGTCACCAGGGGAACAGGGATGGAAGGACATCCGTGTGGTGGGACTTGTCACAGCCCTGTGAGTCCATGGAGTCCCAGAGCCCCCAGCCCCTTCCACCCTGTCTAGGCTTGCTTTTATGTGTGGTCACATCAGCTAAGCCAGCTGCAGACCAGAGTGGCCACGTGCTGTCCCTTGCAGAGAGGAGGGTCAAGGTATACTTACTCATACTCACTTGAGTATTAAACAAGTTTGCCTAAGTGCTTGGAAGGGTGGCCAGGACTCAGTGAGTCTCTGTGAGTGCCAACCACCCCAGCACCATGTACACATGGCATCTCTGCAGGTCTCAGCTTGATAACGCCAGGAGGGCAGGGCTGTCTGTGCAGTGCCGAAGACATGACCCTCAACCACTGTTTGTTGAATGACTAAGTGACCACTCAAGGAATTACACGAAATCACCACTAGTCATTAGGGAAATTACACAAAAACATCACTGGTCACCAGGGAAATGCAAATCCAAACCACAATGAGATACTATCTCACACCCTTTAGGCTGGCTAGACTCAAAATGCTGTCAAGAAAGAACAATCAGAACTGTAATGCACCGCTTGTGGGAATGCGACATGGGGTAGCCACCATTGAAGACAGCCTGACAGTTCCTCCAACAATTAAACAGTTATCAGCAATCCCACCCCCAGAATTTATACCATGAGACATGGAAACATTCGTTCATCCACATAAATGTGTACACAAATGTTCACAGCAGCGCTCTCCACAGTAGCCCAAAGCAGGCCACAGCCCAAATGTCCATCCATGGATGGACGGATAAACAAAATGTGGTCCCTCCATACAATGGACTTGATTCAGCCATCAAAGGAAATTCTGACACTTGCTTCAACATGGACGACTCTGGAAAATACTGTGAGAAGTAAAAGAAGCCAGACAGAAGGATACAGTCACGCACTCTAGTTTTTAGATGCCCAAAACAGGCTGACCCACACAGGAAACAAATGAGGGACGGAGGGCGGGTGTGAAGGCCAAGGTGTGTGGGGCTTGTTCCTGCTGTGATAAAAAACCTTCCAAAACTGACTGGTTGCATAACTCTGACTAGACCAAAGACCATCAACCATGCACCTTAAATGGGCGCACTGCATGCTGTGTGCATCTCAACGAAGCTGTTAAAAAAAGAAACCATGGTGAGATCGATTTCCCCTGGGCAGACCAGGGAAGAAACTTGCCAAGCACACTTTTTTGGGTGTTTGGATTTTGAACCTGGTGAAGTAATTGCCTATTTGCAAAAATAAATAGTATTTATTTATTTATTTATTGAGTTGGAGTCTCACTCTGTCACCCAGACTGTAGTGCAGTGGCCACTCCCGGCCACCGCAGTCCCGATCTGCTGGTCTCTGGTGATCCTTCCGCCTCAGCCATCCAAGTAGCTGGAACTACAGGCGCGCACTATCATGCCTGGCTAATTTTTGATTTATTGTAGAGATGAGGTCTCACCAAGTTGCCCAGGTGGGTCTCGAACCCGCGGGCTCAGGCAATCCACTCACCTCAGCCTCCCAAGGGCACGGGATTACAGGCTGAGCCACTGAGCCCGGCTAAATAAATAGTATTTAAAAAGAAACAGGCCGGGCTCAGTGGTTCACACCTGTAATTCCAACACTCTGGGAGGAGGAAGTGAGAGGATTGCCTGAGCTCAAGGGTTCAGGACCAGCCCTGGGCAACTTGGCAAGACCTATCTCTACAATAAGTCAAATAATTAGCTGGGTGTCATAGCACATGCCTGTAGTTCCAGCTACCAGTTACTTGGAAGGTTGAGGAAGAAGGATCACCGGAGCCCAGCAGGTGGAGGCTGCAGTGACTGCAAGTGTGCCATTGCACTCCAGCCTAGGCGACAGAGTGATACTGATCCCCCCCCAAAAAAAAAGAAGAAGAAGAAGAAGAAATAGGCTGGGCACAGTGGCTCACATCTGTAATCCTAGCACTTGAGGAGGCTGAGGTGGAAGGATGGCTTGAGCCTAGGAGTTTGAGACCAGACTGGACAACATAGCAATACCTCATCTCTACAAAAACTCAAAAAAAAAAAAAAAAAAAAAAAATCTGAGTGTGGTAGTACACGCTGTAGTCCCAGCTACTTGAGAAGCTGAGGCGGGAGGATCACATGAGCCCAGAATTTAGAGGCTGCGGTGAGCTGTGATTGTGCCACTGTACTTCAGCCTAGGTGACAGAGTGAGACCCTGACACAAATAATGTGTACCATCATACTATACATATTTAATGGATGCAAGTTAACCCAACAGTGCTGGAAGGAAGAGGAAAAAAAGGGGATTGTGTTACTCAGCGAGCGTACCCCCCTTCCCTGCCCTGTGGGGGGACCAGCCAGGTGGAGGGGGGCAATCCTCAAAGTATGAACTTCTGCATCAGACCCCATGTTGTCTCTTGTGCTCCACACCATGGGGCAGTCTGCAACGGCCACCAAAGGAAGGTGTGCCTTTTCATGTGACCCTACTGGTAAAGCGAGTCTTCTGCAATGCTGCAGGACCCCTAGAGGACAGTGGGCCTGTGCAGGGTGGGAGTGAGAAGGCTTCCCTGAGTGAGAGGCCTGCACAGGAGTCCCAGTTCTTGCTCACCCGCAGTCAGCTTTCGTGCTTTCTCCTCCACTGGGGGCTGGGCACTGGGGACACAGTGGACACTCAGCCCCTACCTGCTCACATCTGGTTCACTACGAAAGGGCTGCTGTGAGCAGCATGTATCCAGGGGCTCAGAGTCAGGACTCAGGCTGAGTCCTGGCTCCAGTACTGACCTGCTCCTGAGAGCAGGAGCTCTGACCCTCTGTCCTCTCCACCTGAAAACTGAGGCTGACATGTCCTTCGATTCTGCGAACTCAACTTGTACTTATTGTTATGACCATTCAAGAATTCACACAAATCTACAGCGAGATACCACCTCACTTACTGAGCTGCTGCTATGTGCCAGGTGCCCTGGCAGACCAGAAGCAAGATGCAGGCTCACCCCTCCCAGAACCTGGAATCCTCCCTAGGAAGCCTATGGGACCGGTTTCACACTCCCAATTCTCAGCTGGGAAAACAGGTCACATGAAGTTAAGGCCCACCGGGAGAGCACATGCAATTCATTCACCAGGTCCTGAGATCACAATTCGCTCCCACTTCTCACCCCAATAGGTAGTGGGGACGGCAGTATAGCAGGGTCCGCCCACGTGCCCAGCCTGTGGTGTTCCCCCTCCTCAAAACACTGCCACCACCACACACATACTAAAACTTAGGGCAGAGGGGTGAGGCAGCCTTGGCCTTCTCCACTATAAGGCAGCACAAATCCCCTCCCAGGAACTAAGACTCAGAGCTGGACAGGCGAAGAGAAACCAAGGCACCACATGGGAAGAGGCACAAAAGAATGAGGTCAGAGAGCCACTGCAGGGGTCCTGGCAGTCTTAACCCAACTCCCCAAATCAAAGCCACTCCTGGCCCTGGGACCCAATGATGAGGGCTAAGACAGTTAAGGGAAGAGGTTGCACCTCCAGTTTCTGGAGGGGTGCTCCCAGCTCATACTCCGGGGGGAGGACAAAGACATGGCAGGTCAAAGACCCTCACCTCTGCCTCAGGCTGCTTGTCTCTAAGATGGGGACACATTTACCCCCATGAGCTATACCCCCTTCTGTGCCCTGGGCAGGACACTGTGCTATCTAGTGGGGAGACACAGGAGTGACTTATCTATAGTTGGGTTGAGAGTATCCCCAGGCAACCAACCTCAGCCAGAGATGTGGGGGGAGACAACAATACTCCAGGGCTGGAAGGTGTCAGGTGCCATCCAGAGACCTACAGGAGGCCAGTGAGGGGGTGCTGGGGGAAGGAGAGGAGGTAGGCTGAGCCTGAGGGGTGCAGGCATCTTTGAGTCTGAGCCCTGGGATCAAGGTGGTGCTGTAAGGTTTTTTTTTTTTTTTTGAGTTGGAGTCTCACTCTGTCACCCAGACTGGAGTGCAGTGGCCGCTCCTGGCCACCGCATCCTCGACCTGCTGGGCCCCGGTGATCCTTCTGCTTCAGCCTTCCAAGTAGCTGGAACTACAGGCGTGCGCTACCACACCCGGCTGATTTATTTATTGTAGAGATGAGGTCTCGCCAAGTTGGCCAGGCGGGCCACGAACCCGCAGGCTCAGGCAATCCATCCACCTCAGCCTCCCAAAGCTTACGGGATTACAGGCTGAGCCACCAAGCCCGGCTGCATTGTAAGATTTGTGTGGTGATCCCAAGGGGGTGATCCCTGCAGAGGACTGTCACTTCCACGAGGGCAGGCATCTCAGCCGGCTTTGTTCCAGATCAAGCCCTTGGAAGCAGACACTTGGCAAACTTGTGTGAGAGAACATTCCGGAGAGAGAGGCAGACAGAAAACCCAGGGCAGGAACCAGTGGTGGGTTGTCTGGAGGGAGGGGGAGGGGCCTGAGGCTGTGTAGAGGGCATTTCCTGGGTCCTTCGGTGTGCTGGCAGCTGAAGCAAATGCTGCCTGGCATTACCTGAGCGCTCACAGCATCCTCTAAAGCAGACACCAGGGCTCCTACATCATGTGGGTGGGGACCACTGTGCTGCTTTGCTGGGTCCCTGGCAGCCTGACCCCTCCCAGGACAGTTGCAAGGTGACTTCACCAAGAACCCAGCATGGGGCCTGGCGCACAAGGAACACTCAGCAATGGGGTCAGTGAGGTTCTGGGAGAGGAGACGACAGAGATGCTGGGGGCCCGTGTCCTCCTGATAATGAGAGCCAGCCTGATGCTCAGGGGGTCCCCCATGCCTGTGAATCCCAGCTCAGAGCCCAGTACCCTATGCTTTGGAGTCTTCAATTAGAAATTGGGTGTGGCCGGGTGTGGTGCAATCTCAGCACTTTGGGAGGCTGAGGCAAGAGGACTGCCTAAGCTCAGAGGTTCGAGACCAGCCTGGGCAACTTGGCGAGACCTCGTCTCTACCACAAATCGA